GGTAAGGTAACTTACGTCGTAAACTTAAGGTTAAGGTACGTACTATAAGAGAAACTTACGTTAGATAGACTTCGTCACCAACTAACTTACGGTACGTCTCTCTCTCTCTCTCTCTCTCTCTCTCACTAAGAGTGGCGATTGGCTAGGTCCGGTCTGGGTCGACTCGGACCTAGACCTGATCTAGACTCAAACCCATCAAGTCTAAATCTTCGACCCGAACCCGACCCGATTTGGGTCCAGGTCTAGAACTAACAAAAATATTTTGAAAATATTAATATATATATATATATATATATACAACCAAGCACATACACACACATCATAGGCAAATTAATCAAAATATTATACATTTTAAAGAATATTTTAAATATATGTACCATATGGGTATATATCACCGTCCATGCCTTCTCCCAATTAAATACATATGTGTGTATAAGTTTATGTGTATATGTGTGCATGTGTGTATACATGTGTTTGGGTCAGGCCCGGTTGACCCAAACCCATATCCAACTCAGGTCCATGGTTTGGGACCCAGACTTGACCCACCGGTCCAAAACTTGAATTGGACCCAGACCCAAACTCGGATTTGGATCAAGTCGACCCGACCCAATTGCCACCCCTCTCTCTCTCTTTAAGAAAGAAGATAATTATCACATATATTTACTTATGCTTTTTTTTTTACTATTGTATTTTGACAAATTGCTTTCTTTTAATTTTTGCAGGCCATCATTTACTGACTGATATACTGTTGGGGAAAATGATCCAAACAGCACACCAAATGCACGTTGAAGGACGGATCATCAACGTTTCTTCCGTAATTCACAGTTGGGTTGGGAAGGAGGGGTTCCAATTTAATGACATGATCAACCCTAAAATGTATAATTAAAAAGATGATTATTTCTAAATTTACAAGTTTTATTCTAATTTGATAATAATTACCATGGTTTCTGTACTTTTGTTATTTCAGCTACAATGGCACACGTGCGTATGCTCAGTCGAAATTGGCAAATATATTGCACACCAAGGAAATAGCCAGGAAACTAAAAGTAAGTCTAATTTTGGAATTTTTTCCTTTTTATGCAACTTTTTACTCTCTGTTTATGTTTTATTTTATTTTCTATTTTTCAAATCAAAATCATGCGATCCAATGTATGCTCCGCTGAAGAAAACCGTATGCTTGCTCCCTCGGGCAAAATACTAACTTAGGAATATTTTGGTCACCTAAAAATTGCTAAAGCATTATATTCAAAACAAAAAAAAATTGAATTTTGAGTTTTCCACTACTTAAATCTTCCCCTTCAACAATTGGTGACTTCTATTCAATTTTGAACCCTTTTTTTTTTTTTTTTGAAGCCAATGGATAATGCAATTTGGAAAAAAAATTTATCGAGTATATCATATAAGAAGTGCGAGTTTAAGGTGGAATGATTGAAAAAGGTAAGAGGTATGCCAAAAAAATATGGTTGCAAGCCGTCCGAAAGGATATAAGGACTTATGGTCTCACTAAGGAGATGACCTTTAATAGAATATAATGGAGAATTAGGATTCATGTAGACGACGCCAATTAATTGGAACAAGGTTAAAATGATGATGATGATGATATATAAGTTGAAACTTTAGAGTCCTAAAAATAGTATGTTTTGCTTATGGACAATACGTTCCCTCAGGAGCATGAAATCCATTTTATATAGGGATGGTATAGCATCATGAATCTTCAATGGTTTGGTTGTGCTTAGTCTCATCGAAGGATTTAAAATAATTTCATTTTTTTATTTATTATTTTTATTAAAATAATACATCACTAAAAGTTTCCTATAAAAAATACCTCATAAATATATTTTGGGCCTAAATGAATCTACACCTCAAATTTTAAATAAATTTAATATTAAAATAAAAATAAAAGTTATTTTTTGGTAGGTTGGATAAATCCTGGTTCAATTTGAATTGTTGGAACGGTGCATAAGTACCTTTCCACTATCGGAACGATGTGTACGGAATAATTTCCCATATACACGTATAAGCGCAAGTCTGCATGCTTTTAACCCTCTAAAATTTATTTTTAAGATGAATTTGAATCCAGAATTTCGGAGATCGATAATCTCCCATGGAAATTATTAATCTTAACATATATACGTATAAGCGCATGTCTGCATGCTTTCAACCCTCTAAATTTTAGTTTTAAGATGAAATTTGAATCCAAAATTTCGGAGATCGATAATCTCCCATGGAAATTATTAATCTTAAAAAATATATGAATGCCCAAATTTTGAAAGGTATTTTTAAACATTTTTTCAAATTTTTCATTTTACTTTTACGATTCATTATATCTTGACCATTTTAAAAGATGAACATATGGCAAAAAGTAATTTTTTGTGATTTAAAATGTATTCTAGATCCCAAATACGCAAAAAACCCAAGATAAGTTGCGGAGTGACATCAATCCTCTCTCTATATATATATGTATATATATATATATATGAAAAAACTAACAATAGTTGGACAGACAACTATAATGAATAGTAATATACGTGGAACTCTAGCTATCAGATCTTTGTCATATGGTTCAAAATGCATATCACTATATAAATTTTAATTTTTTTTTATTAAATTTGATTAAGATGAACTTTTGGGTATATATATATATATATATATAGGCATACGTGCACATGTTTTTCTTTTTTTTTTGTTTTTATTAAATCCAAAGTCCATATTACAACAAGTGGGTACAATTCCCATGGCATGTGATTTATTCGAAGCCATTTAATTGGATTTATTTTTAAGGCCAATATATAGGAGTGGAAAGGGAATGGGGGCAAGTGCCACACTGCAAGGCACCATTCCTGTTGTTAATTGGGGCAGTGGTGGTTGGGGACCAGTGCCACAGGGGGGCTCCATTCCTTTGTTAATGCTTCAAAAAGAAAAGTGAGATATACCATGGAAAGTGTAAAGGACCCTACTGTAGCTAAGCCGGGCTTGGTCTTGGGCATGGGCCTGGGCCTCTTTAGGCCGGGCCAAAGCTAAGGCTTGGCTTAGGGCCAAGGTCTTTTTTAGTTGGACAAGAGCTCATATACTTACCAATGGATTCATAGAAAAATATTTGCTCTTTTAAAATTAAATAAAGAAAAAAATTTCTATAAGGTATCGTCCTTATATTATTGAAGTAGGAAGGTGCACATCAAGAACAGAGTGTTCGAATATTGGAAAACCCTTTAATTTAATCATCTCGACTTCTAGATTTTCTTGATACGCAGAAAAAATAAAAATTCAAGTCTTGCAAATAGTATATTTTGTAATAAATTATCTAAATCGTCTATTTTCAATAGTTTTAAGTATTTATAGATCTAATCAATTTTTATCATTTTTAAAATTTTAAATTCAATCCATCATAAGATTTCCGACATCGGAACTCCATCTCCAGATAAAATTTAGAGATGCACTTTACATCTAATAGTACAAGGAGGGCGCCTTAGCTTAAATAAAGGGAAAGCTTTCTATGTGACCCTACCTAGATATAAATCATATCTGACCCCATTTCTCAACCATTCGATCCAAACGGATGGTTAGGATTGTTCATGTCATGCCAAAATATTTTTTGATTTTTAATTTTTTCTACAAATATTTTTGAGTGAGATATGGGGTTGTCCAATCTTTTTATTAGGCCGCTTCGAGCAAAAAACAAAGGAAAACATTTCTCATGAAAATAAATACGAACAATACCTCCAAACGTTTTAGGGGTATTTTGATAATTTTTATCAAATGAAATTTTTATTAGGACATGATTTCAATGCGGCCAGCCCGCATATTGTAGAAATGTAGGCTTGGCAATAAACATATTTTTTTATATATTGTTCCAAAATTTTTAGAGAATATATAATCTTTAACATGGAGATCATGAATATATATATAAAAAAAAAAGATTGTAAATTAGAAATAATAATTATATTAAGAGAACATTTGGACCGTTTGTTACGGATCACCTATTTGCATCCATCTTTAAGATGGATGCTTTATACCTTTGGACCGCATATTGCATAAATGCGGTCCAGCCCACATCAAACAATTTTCCTTTTTTTTATTATTATTATCATATCCGCCCCTGCCAAATGTATGCATACCCCAAATTTTGCTACAAAATGACGTATAGAATAAATATTAAAAATAAAATACTCGAAGCTATCGAATCAATATCTGTCACTAAAGAGCCAGCTTGTGGCATTGTGGCTTAAGTCATCCAAGCCATCTACTCAAATTTGACGGTTGATATTTGGGTTATATGTATTTTGTATGTAGGTGACGTCACATGTAAAGCTTTCCCTGAAAAAAATCGAACTCCTCTTTATCTTCTTGATGTCTTCCTATTTTTATGGGGTGTGGTTTATATAAGGTTGAGGCCTTAAACAATAATGTAAGTCGCACTTTGAAATAGTGTTGAAAGATATTATTTCAGTATTGGTAATCTTTGTAAAGACTTGATAATTTATTTTCATATCTAATTATAAAATTTAAAGCTTCAAAAATAGTGTAGAGCAAGTAAATCCATAAAAAATTGATTATCTTGAAAATTGACGATCCAAAAAATATATTGCAAGATGCACTATTTCAAGACTTGATTTCATTTTTTCTCATGTTCATACATTTTGAGGTTGAGGTGATTGATTTGAGGATTTTTGAGCATCAAAACAATCTCTAGTGAATTTTTGAGATGCTACTTACTTTGATTGTTTAAGGTGTCACCCTTATATAAACTTTTTTCACTTTTATATGGCATCACACATTCAAATTATTTATCATAGCTATATCCAAAATAACCATCCTAAAATTGGGGGTAAACAGTTGTAGATTTTTGGAGTAGGAATTTTATGCGATCCATTAATTTTGATTCTTGATCTGACTTGTAGCTTTATTAACTTCAAAGGTATTAAAAATGTGGTTTATATAAGGCGGCGACCTTACTTGTAGAAGTAACATTACGATGTTCTATACTGTTTGTTTTAGTTGGACGATATAGGTTTAATACATCTTTTAAGACTCTCAGAAAGTCGTATGTCTTTTAAGATAGTGTCAAATCTACACCATCTAAATAAAATACATGATGTGGATTTATGAGCCTTACTTCCGCAAATTGCAACCTGATATAAATTTTGCCCCAATAATTAGGATAAGGCTCTAATGATGATGATCAAACTGTTGAGAAGATGCAAGTACACTGTTTGAAATCGAAATGCCAACCTAATATATCTCCAGATCTGCCTTAAAATTGGCCTTGTAAATAAAAGCCATTAAAATACATATGAGGTTTGTCATTAAAATACTTTATAATATTTTAATGCAAGTACACAGTGGATCTCTTCCAATTTAGGTTGGCATTAAAATAAAGAGATCCACTGTGTACTTGCCAACCTAAACTGTTGAGAAGATGCAAGTCATTAAAATAAAGGCCATTAAAATACTTTATAATATTTTTTTATTTAATTTTAAAGTGCCCATTAAAATACATATGAGCATGGAACAGTTGAAAAAAGATAAAATACTAAATTGTTGAAAAGTTCGGCATATCTTGATAAATTCCCCAAAAATTAATGAAAGTACCTGTTTATACCCAAACTTCTATTACAAATAGCTGTTTTATTTTGTTATACCATTATTTTTAATGTTATTTTGTGTAAAATTTTCAGGCGACAGGAGCCAATGTAACGATAAATGCCGTCCATCCCGGGATCGTAAAGACGGGAATTATCAGAGAAAAGAAAGGATTGGTTACAGGCATGATTTTATTTTGCTTTAATTATATATTTTTGACAGACACCTTGCCACATTCTAGCAATTATGTCCACTAGGAAATAACCAAAAAGATGATTAAATTTATGGCAGGCAAACAACAAAATTTAGTGCTAAAATGGTTACATAGCAAAACAAACAAAAAAAAAAAAAAGGGAAAATAACTAGTAGATTCCGTACTGTGATACATACCACACACAAATAGTATACTGCATGTAACCTCGATTGTATGTTACCACACATGAAAAGTAGACATATGGGCTCTTTCCCATCCATTTTGATGGTTCGTTTCAACCAATGTTTTTAGAGTTTTTTTAACTCGGTCGTGGCCCTAGCCAAGTGACTCGGATGCGTCGAATGGACTCGGCTTAGTCATATAGGGCCCAAAAGGCTCTAAACAACAAAAAATACTAAAAAAAATAAAATAAAAATTTTAAAAGAAACAAAACTAAAGAGTAACTGAAGGAATCAAAATAAGCTGAAAAAGAATAAAAAAATTGTTTTAGAAAAGATTGATCTATGGTTGGAGACATTTAAAAAAAAAAAAAGAGATGTATGAATTTTGGCAATAAGAACCCACAAATCAGTGTAAAACACATCCAATTATATGTATAATATTTATACATCAACCCTGCAAGTAGATATATTTTCTACATTTTTCTTCGTTTTTTTTTTTAATACACATGAGTCGTCCTCGGGTACTCTAGTCGGCCAAGGGCCATGTTGGAGTGGGCTCCACCGAGTCGTTAAACACCGATCTCAACCATCGATTGACTGTTGAGATTACAAGCAAATATCACTTCCATGCTACACGCATGTTATTAGACTTTCTCATTAGTTTTTTGTTGCATTGATTCAAAAAACGGTCGACCAACTAAGTAGGTTGTCTCTTGCATAGGGATCCTGGGCACCCTCCCAGGCAGGCAGGTGCTCAGGTGACTGCGCCCGCCTAGGTACAAAAATAGGTGGGGTATTTTTTGATGTTTTCTTTTGTTTGGATTAAAAAAAAATACATATTTTGGACCTAAAATAAGATTATTGGACACCTCTGACCCCTTTTGATGGAAACTTCCCCTTTAATTATAGCACTTTAGTTTTGCCACCACTAATTTTTTAATCAGACCCAACAACTTCAATTAGGACGACAGCACTTTAGTTTTGCCACCGCTAATGCAGTAACTAGACCCAAAAACTTCAATCAACACGAGTTAATAGGCGTTCAATGGTCTGATTAATGAATGGCCCAAGACATCCATTCAGGGTATATGACCGAGTGTGGAGTGTGACAGTTTAAATTTTAAGCTAGTAAGACTAAACCTCTTGGGTATTTTGTAGCCCAAGTACTATCTGGCATAGAAAGAGGCTATAGGGGTAAATCAGTCATCTGGTTCTTAAAAAGCTTCAAGGTAAAATGTTATCAGCCACTCAAAAAGTGTTGGAATTTAATCCAATTAAAATTTTAAATCATACCATGAATATTTCGGAAAACTAAAAAAATTGGATAATGTGATAATAAAAAAAATCTCTCATCTTAAAAATCATCAAAATCATCTAACAACATATTTGTACATATTTAGTAAATTTTTATTTTGTTTTTTTACATCTTGCTATGGTGCCAGGCGAATTGCCTCTGGAAATTCCCACAACTCAGCCACAGCATTGTCGAAGGCCGAGTTACTGGGCCAAGTCCTACTACAATGCAAATCAGTGATAGAATCCTTTGGTATAAAATAATCATAAATGTACCTAAATGCTCTTTTTTCTCTTAAAAAGTATTTTGTTTGCAGATACCTTGGGATAAAATTTAAAAATTATGAAAGCCCAAAATTGGGCTAGTTTCAAATTGTTTATTCAACAACGGTGCTTTCTTATAAAGATTGTATATTATGGGACTATTTGCCTTTGTTACAAGGAGGTTACAAATGCTCTTAGCCATCTGATTTTAAATTGGATAGTTTAGGATATGTCATAAAGTCCAAGAAATTTTATTTTGAACTTTGAACCTAGTCAATGACACAACTCCAACTACCTGATTCAAAATCTGATGGACAAGAGTGATTGCGATCTCCTCACACCAAAAGTAAATAGCGTCTTTGTATATTTTTGCTTCCTACAAATACCAAGCGTAAATTTATTGATTTAGAGAATGGTTCAGGAGTAGTTCTTTAAACATTCTTAACATAAAACAATAAATTGTTAGTCTTATGTGCTTTCTTTTACCTTTGCAGATTCAGTTTACTTCCTAGCATCCAAATTGCTTAAGTCCATATCTCAGGTTTGATCCCAAATCCCTTTGCCACTTTGCCAGTATTAGCATAATATGATAATATGGTGTTCTAAACACCGAATCCGTGGTTAGAAGTTAGAACTAGTCATTCATCACTTATGCGCCGGTTTAGAACTGCCTGAGCCAACTAGCTGGTTCTCTGCAGTTTTTTCTATTTAGAAAAAAGAAAGGGAGAAAACTGATGGAAAACCACGGATCTTAGACACTGATTGGTATCCCACTAGTCTCATATCGGCTCGAAAAACTTTAAAACATTGTGCTAACATATTCTTTTAGATACTACTACTGAACTACATACAGAGAGGGATTTGGATCTGATCATTGAAATGAAAACTAAATTAGGACTTTGGTAAGACTGCAAGAGACTTCAAAATTTTTTGAAAATCTATATTAATTCTAAATCTTTTAAGATGAATGTATGTGACATCATGTAGAATAAGAACAATAAGAGCTCTTGATTTTTGTTGATTTAATGATAACCTTTAGATATTTTACTTTCTTCTTACAAAGCGAGGAAGCTTCCTTCATAAATCAGAATCCTAATGTAACAGAATTGGTTGCATATCTTTCTCTTTCTCCCTGTAACAAGAGTAGACTTTGTTCCTGCTGGAGCAAAAAAATCTATTTATTCAAGGGCAAATGATCCACGTAGGAGAATTTTTTTGAAGTGAAATTTTGGGATCCACTTCGAAATCACCAAATAAGTATTTTTTCAAACAAAAGTGGTTTATACGTTGGAGAATGAATTTCTACATTTACGTTTCCCGAGGCATAAAGTATCCATTTAAAGATGGATGTAAGTGATTGTCCCTCCAAGAGAAGCAAAAATCAATGGCTCAAATATTTCCTTCTAAAAAATATCATTTTTAATTTGTTATTTTTATTTATTTTTACATATTAAATAAAAATATTCCTTAAAAATGAGGGTCAAAATTTATTTAAAAAAAGATTATTAAGGGGGTTTTCTGTTCTATATATGTGTCTGGAAACTCATAGAAACCGTAGTTTTTCCTAAAACAATAATTTTGAGTACGTAAACAAGTAGAATTGACCATCTAAAAATAAGATAATCTATGTAAAATTCTCAAGCTTGATTTTTTTCAGGGTGATCAACGTCCATATTTCCTTCTGGGTTGGCCCCTAGGTTGAGCAAATCCTGTTCTCAAAATTTGGGATACTAAAACTACTTCTAATTAGTGTTAACCCCGGGCAAAACATATGTACATTTTACTTTTGTGGGAGAATATAATCTTTTCATATCAAATTTCCCTGGTTTCTTTTGTATTTGAACTTTTTTATTGTGGTATTTCAACAGGGTGCGGCCACAACATGTTTTGTGGCTTTAAGCCCAAGTGTAAAGGGAATTTCTGGGAGATATTTTGAGGATTGTAATGAAAGTGCATGTTCAAGCCTAGCCAGTGATGAAATGGAAGCTCAGAGGCTGTACGAACTAACCCATGAAGCCATTTACTGTAGAAAATCATGTAAGAATGCCCAAAGTTAGGTTTTTAATAATGCTTGGAGGCTGTAAATCCTTTTTCCTTGTAAGGCTGGAACAGGAGATACGGAAAAGAGAAATTCGAGTCACAGCATGTACAACAACAAAGGTGTAATATATATGAAAATAGTAAATTTTAATTCTATTTCATGGAATCTCTGTCTCTTTAACATAGTAAGGTGTATATCTGGGTGTAATTTATACGAAAGTAGCACGTTAAATTCTATATCATGAAATCTCTCTCTTGGGAGCATGCTTGGAATATCGAAAGTAAAAAAAGCTCTAAAAAAATATGCAGATAGAAAAGGCTTTATGACCATATGGTATCCCCATGGAGATTTAGAAGTACACCGGGGGGATCGGTATTGATTAACTGATGAAGTTATTCAACAAGTTGTTAATAGCAAAAAAAACATTTCAAACAAATGGAGAAAAAGTATTTTGGTACCTATTTATAACAAGGGATTGTCTACAAAGATACCATATATATTTTGTACATGGAGATTACAATCATTCTTGTCTCTTAGATTTAAAAATGGGTAGTTATATAAGAGTCATTGGATAGGCACAAAGTTCCAAAGAAAACAATTTGGACTTTGTGACTCACCTCAAACCATCCAATTTGAAATCTGATAAGTGTGAATGATTGTAATCTCCATGTACAAAAAAAAAATGGTCTCTTTGTAGAGAATCCCTTATAAGAATAAAGGATATATGCAAAATTGTACTAATTATCAAGGATTAAATATATGAGCCATAATATGAAACTATGTGAGCGAGTGCTTGAGAATGATTAGGGTGCATCAATAACCAATTTGGTTTTATTGCAAAGAGGCCACAATTGATATTATTTTCTTACTTAGGCAACTGATTGACAAGTTTATGGTTAAGGGGAAAGACCTCTACATGGTCTTTTATTGATATAGAGAAAACTTATGATAAAGTACCTCAATATTTAATTTGGTGAGTGTTACAAAAGAAATGACTCCTCAAATATTATTTAAATTTGGTGAGAGATATATACAAGGAGCAATAACTAGTGATCAAACAACTAGCGAAGAGACGTTGGGTTTTCAATAACAATAGATTTATATCTAGGGTCAGCATTGAGACCATACGTCTTTGTACTTAGTTATAGACGACTTAACCTGGCACCTACGAGATGAGGTATCATGGTGTATATTGGTCGCGGATGACATAGTTTTGATCAATAAGACCCAAAGCGGCGTCAACACAAAGTTAGAACTTTAGGGAGATTCTCTAGACTATAAAGGTCTTAAAATTAACGCCTAAGATATCATATAGAATGCAAGTTTAACAGTAATAGAAGTAGAGACAATGAAGTAGTTAAGATTGATAGCCAAGAAATACCAAAAAACACACTTTCAATATCTTGGATCGATAATCAAGTCGAATTGAGAGATCGGAGAAGATTTCGTACATAGAATTAAAACTGAATGGTGAAGTAGAGATGTGTAACCAGAGTTTTATGTGATCGCCATATACCAAAGAAGATGAAGGGGAAGTTATATAGGACAGCTATGAAACCGACTTTGCTTTATGGTCACGAGTGTTGGGTGGTCAAAAAACAACATACCCATAGGATGAGTGTAGTTGAGATGAAAATATTGAGATGAATGAGTGGCAAGACAATAAGGGATGAAATTCGAAAGCAATGCATTGGAAGAACTTAGATGTGACTCTAGTACTTGATAAGATGAAAAACAAATTAGACTTATGTGGGCTGACAATGTGTAGGATAGACCTAGTATAACACCTGTTAAGAGGTACAAGTTGGTTCAAGTGGAAGGCTAAAAAAAACAACGGGTAGGCTCCAAAGGATATGGTTGAAAGTAGTGAGAAAAAATACAGAGACTTGTATCCTCATTGAGGGTACGGCCTGTGATAAAGCAGAATGACAGACAATGATTCACGTACCTGATTAAATAGTTGGAAAAGTCTTTGACGATGATTATGATGATGACATACTATTAAATAAACATGGCCATCTGATAGGCTTTGGATGGTAATGAAAGATGAGCAAAACACTATAGAAATTTATTCATAGGGCTTTTAAAAAGAGTTTTTGTGACGTCAACCTTATACTAGGATCATCAGATAATTTTTCCAACTATTTGGAGTCGCTACACGAATCATGATCAGTCATTCTACTGTATCAAGGATATACCCTCAATAAGGCCATAAGTCCTCGTATCATTTCTCACTACTTCCACTAATGTCATTTTGGGTCTACCCCTTGCCCAAAAGGACATGGTAGGAAGTAGTGACACCTCAAAATTTTAATATAATAATAAAAGTGTAATTTAATCAAGGGATACATGACCATTGAGAGAGATTCAAGCCTATGAGTAGCAATAACTTGTAAGATGTAATTTAATAAACATCTTAGGCAACGAAATTAAGGTCTGTGTAGTTGAAAGATGACGATGAGAGTACTTATTACTCAATGGCTTCCCTATTTGCAACCCCAAACCTTGGATTTGTACAGTTGAGTTGGCAGTTTGGGTGATTAGGTGCTTAGGGTTGGAGTGGGCAGCCAATAAATTTGTAGGTATGCTGAGTGAGAAAAAAATTGGATATTATCATCCACATATTGATAGGTTTATTAACTTTATTTCGTGCACCCACCACACATCGAATGAAACGCATATAGAACTTTCAAAATTAGGTAAAGCTACCTCAAAATAATCATTGAATCAATCAATTTATCAGAATTCAATAAAATGTTAGCTTAATAAAATGATCTTGAGTACCTTTCTAGTTAGAAAATAACTAAAATGCTCATGCTCATCGTTTGAATAGGGTTATTTTGGTGATTTTAGTAAAATCAATAAAATGCCTCTACTTGTTCTCGATGTCAAACCAAAGTATTTTAACGAAAAGGCATATGCTTTTAGTTGAGGACTCAACATCATCTACTCGTTCTAGATTGCTAGCCAGAAAATAGATATTTCAATGAAGGGTGTGGTTTACATAAGGTTGCAACTGTAACAGTCAAATTAAAGTGTACCTCCAAACTTTGTCATGAGGTTCAATTTTGGTGTTGAAAATTCTTAGGATGATGCGATAATCTATTTTTATCTTTAATTATAAATTTTAAGCTACAAAAATAGTTTAGATCAAGCAGATTTATAGTACAAGATAATACTAAAATGGATGGTCCAAATAATGTGTTGTAAGATGCACTATTTTTAAGATTCAAGATCCTTTTTTTCTCTATATCTATACATCTCGATGTTGAGATGATCAATTAGACGTTTTTCCAATATCAAAACAACATTTTTTAAGAATTTTAGAGATGCACTTTAATTCTACATATAAACTTTTTCTTTTAATAAAAAGCACATTTTAAGGCATATGTTTTCGGGATGTCAATTTCTGTAGGTTATCTGCAGAAGTTGCAGCCTCTTTGGAAGGGATGGCTACGGAAGAGGAAATAAATTATGCAGTTTTCTCCTTGCCTGAGGATAAATATCCTGGACTTGATGGTTCACGCTATTCTTCTTTCAAAAAATTTAGGATTTGATAAAGGGTGTTTTGAGTAAATCTATCAATTCAATTTACATTGCCTTAATACTAAAAAGCAGTCAAATTCGAAATGCCAGACATTGGACCAAAAGGCCTTCGTACAAGTTTGTACAAAATAATTGCTAAGGTCTTAGCTAAAAGGCTAAAGAGGGTGCTCAATCTGGTGATATCAGGAACTCAATCAGCTTTTATTCGGGGCCGTATTATTATTGATAGTGTGTTGAGTGCGCAAGAATGTGTTCATTCAAGGAAGCAAGAAGGCAAGCCAGGGATTCTCTTGAAGCTGGACATGTAAAAAAATGATCGGGTGGACTAGGATGTTTTAGATAAGTGGAGAATCTAGATCAAAGGATACTGATCTTCTGCTCATTTTTCTGTCCTAGTCAATGAATGCCCCAAAGGTTTCTTTAAGGCAACAAGAGGTTTAAGACAAGGAGATCCACTCTCTCCTTTCATATTCATAATAGTTGTTGAAGATTTTAGCTTGATGATCCAAAATGTAGAGGCGCTGGGCAGATTCAATGGTTTTAAAGTATCTCCTTCATCTAGCTTGAGTGTTTCTAATTTATAACATGCAGATGACACTTCAATGTCTTGTGATGCGAAGGTGGATCAATTGTTAATATTAGGAGATTGCTTCTATATTGTGAAATGATTTTAAGATTGAAGGTTAAATTTTGAAAAAACAACTATTGTGGGGTTGGGTTGTGAAGCAAGTCCTCTAAATTTGCTGGCCTTTCGTTTGGGGTGCGATAATTTTTCAATTAAATATCTTGGCTTACCAATTTTAGATGGTAGGTTTCCTAAGTCGGTTTGGGATGCAGTAGTGAAAACGGTACATGCTAATTGGTTAGAACGAAACAAAATGATCTTTGAGAGTTTGGCGATGGAGATGGTGAAACGTAAGACAATGAATGCTATGTGGACCTGGTTTTTAATAACCAAAGAAGGTTTTGGGGCATTTAGGGTTGATTTGGAGGTCAATTTAACAAATTTCGTAAATCAGAAAATGTTGTAGGTGAGACCAAAAGAGAGATGGTTACCACCAATCATGGGTAGTTTCAAACTAAACTTTGATGGTAGCTTTTTTAGATAATCCAAGGTCTTCGGGTTTTGGACGCATCCTTAAAAATTCAACTTGAGATATTATTTTATGCTATGTTGGGCCCGGTGGAGTATCGACTGCGAATGAAGCAGCGATGGTGGCATTACAGTAAGGATTGCAATTGGTGGTCCAAAGGGGCATTCAGACCGCTTGTATTTTTTAAAGAGATTCTCTAAATGTTATAAATTGGTGAAACCATGTATCAGAGCGTCCAGCATTTGAGAAGAAAATGGATGAATATCATGGATCAATGTGCATCTTTGCAGGTATCTTTTCAGCATGTATACAGGGAGCCAAATGATATTGAAGATGGTCTAGCAAAACGAGGAATAGAGCAACATTCTATTATTGTTTCTGATGTACTCATTTCTTGAGTTGTTGTATATCTTTATTGGTCGAAAGTAATTTTGTCAAGAAATAAAAAAATAAAAAATAAAATAAGAATAATAATAATAAGGAAAAAGTTTATATAGTGTCGATAGTGTCGAGGCTCCAAACAATCAAATTTGAGCCTACCTCAAAAATTTCACTGGAAGAGGTTGTTTTGTTGCCTAAATATACTCAAATTGATCATCAAGACATCGTCAAATTGATCATCTCGACATCAAGATGCATGGACATGAGAAAAAAATGGATTTCAAGTTTTAAAAATAGTGTATTTTGTAACGTATTTTTGGACCGTCAATTTTCAGTATTTTCAAGTTTTAATAGATCTATCGATCTACATTATTCTTTAAATTTTATAAATAAAGATGAAAATAAATTTTAAGGCTACTACAAATATTTTCAGTATTGAAATCACATTTCTCGATACTATTTGAAAGTAGGCTCTAATTTGATTGTTTAGAGCCTAGGCTCTATACAAACCGCACCCTAATAATAATGTTTTGAGTTGAGAACTTGTAACGAACGGGATAATTAACATCACTCGTCTGGCGTCACATACGTTGGCAGAGCAAACTATGCAAAATACCCGGACTTCAAAATCCCTTTTGGCTTGAGCCACATGGTGGCGAAAATTGACCAAAATACTATGTTCAAGACTCCAAATTTGAACACGGGCATTTGAGGTAAATTTAAATAAAACAGCTAGAACGTACTCGGGTCATGTTGACTTTTTAAAGCAACCTTTTTTTTTTTTTTATGAATAGATTGATTAGATCACCTCAATAATTCCAAAGTGATTTAATCATTTTCATTATCATCCTCGTCGGAATTTTTTCTCAACTATTTGGATCGACTACATGAATCATAATATGTCATTTTGTTCTATCGAACCATATTAATAATCCAAAAATATCATGGAGCCCCATTGCAGAGAGAGACTACCCGAACAAACAAATGGTGTCTGATAATGTCAAATTCCTAATCACATTTCTAGGATGTATTGAAAATAAAATCTTTGAGATGGACAATGACAGGGACTTTACGAGTCAACTAGAAAGTTCTTTTTCCGGTTAACCCAATGATAGATTTAAGAGTTACAACTAGAAAGTTCTCTTTCTAGTTAACTCAATAGTAGATTTAAGAGTTACAACCACTACTAGGACCATTGCATGCATGACACGAGATATTGTTGGAATAATCACATTAACATTAATATTTGCTTTGACAGTTATATTCGTTGTGAGATCGGTATTGATAGTTCCATTTCAAGTAGAAACGACCATTGCAATGACAATTATATTTACAGTTACATATGCAATGAAGGGATAAGTGATATCTGTAGTGAGGGTATAAGTGATTACATCTGTAGTGAGGGGATAAATGATATAAATCCATTTCAAGTAGCAGCGACAATTGCAGTGACAATTATATTTACAGTTACATCTGTAGTGAGGGGATAAGTGATAGTGATGGTATTGTTCTGTTCTTGATTTTCGAGTGTTCTTTCACACTTCATCCATCCAGTATCCCATAAAAAGGCGTTCATTCCTAGAAGGCTTATTGTGTACAAGTGGAAAGCCCTTTTCTAGCCAGAACACCCATTAAACCCTGAAACCAAACAGAATATCATTAATCTGATACTGCCAGTTTTCAAATTGAACATAATGCATGAGGCTCACTTGCAAGAATGGCATTCGTACACACCTACATTGCATAATAAAAGACGCAGTGGTTATAACTTAACAAAGAAATGAGGCAACAAATTCTCTGTCAATTTGCCATTCCCCCTTTTAAATAAAATTTAACCCACGATTTCCACCACTACATTGTATCAACATTTGAGATCACATTTTGATTGTTCCTGTAGTGAGAGATCCAGGCAAGACAAAAAACCAATAAAAAAAACTGTTCTTTGTGATGATACAGTATCCCTATCTCCTCTTTTAAGTTAAGCGCAAACTTCTTATTAATTATAAAGATCATCATCATCGCCAACAGGAGCTGTAGAAGATAATGGATCTGCAGCCCCTGTTCCTGAGGGATTTTCAGGTCGCTCGGGGAATCGAAACTCTGACCCAAATCCTCGAGATTGATGCAGAGTTTGAGCAAACATTTGGTACTTGCGAATGTCAGCATCACTGACACTCCTCCTGGCATATTTCATGGACTCTTCAAAATGTGCAGCCTTGATCTCGGGAACATCATCAATGTCATCCTCCTCCATTGCCTCGGGATTCTCACTCTTCTTCCTCTCCCGTTCGATGTCCTGTAATCCCCAAAATAGTCAGAAACATGCAAGGTATAGTATGAGCAGCATGCCTGAACACAGGCGCCCTGATTTTCAGGGGGAATGTCAAAACATGCAGAGGATCGATCTCTCTCTCTCTCTCTCTCTCTCACACACACACAAAAGATACCAGGAAATATATACACACAATGCACATGCACATAAAACCAATTACAGTTTCCCAAATTTATAGAAATTTAAAATATTTGGGGAAAAAAAAACAAATGAAACAAGCAAATATAGAAGATACTGAAGGAATTTGATATATGATTTATTTGTTTTTAAATTGTTTTTGAGACATGATTTTTAAAAAGAGACCCCTCTTGCCCATAAGAAGAATAAATGTCATTATGTAAGTCACTGTTTGTTTGTCCGAGTCACTGTTGTAGAACTCTTGTAGAAATAGACATCTTTCCTATGGTAGTTTACAAGTTAATGGACATAATTTCTCTATAATAATATAGACCAGTTATTATCACGACAAATGGATAATGTTTGAGAAAGCATGATTAAATACAAACATTTATTTTCATCAAACAGAGTCAATCAGCATGGTGAACATACCTTCTCAATGTTCTCTCTGATTGCATATTTGCAAGCACGCTGACATATTTCTGTGATATCAGCTCCACTGAAACCATGAGCATAGTGAGCAAGGGCTGAGAGATCAACATCCTTTGAAACAGGGGATTTGCGCAAGCAAGCCTTGAAAATTTGCAGCCTTGAAGCCTCATCTGGCAAGGGAATGTAAATCAGCTGGTCCAATCGTCCAGGCCTTAGCAATGCAGGGTCAATAATGTCGGGCCTATTGGTTGCCCCAATGATGAAAACTGTCTTCTTTGCATTCATGCCATCCATTTCTGTCAACAGCTGATTCAAAACCCTATCGGCAGCACCACCAGCATCACCAACACTACTTCCACGCTGCAAAACCCAAAAGTCGAACGATAAATTGTTGCACATTTGTAAATGAAAAGATTAAGAGTTGCCTGTTTGCAATTTGAAGAAATGAAAATGACGGATTTAGAGCTTGAGATAAAGGAAATGCATAAGCATGTGGAGAGAAATATTAAGGACACGGGACTGGGTCAAAGATGGCAGGAATTTGAGGTGAAACACAAAATCGTATCTAATGTTCAAGACTGGTGAAGATAGAAAGAAGTAAAGTGAGTTTAGTCATGAAAACTGACAAAAAATGCATAAGATAACTTTGAAGCACTATGGCATAGTGATGCCGAGCTCATTCACCAGGTCAAAGTGTTTTTGGTACCAACTTCCCCATGGAAAAAGAGAGAAGTAAAATAAACAAACATCAGGTAATTTTAGTAATGCAATCAAATGAAAAATTTGCACGTGAAAGAGTTCTATATGACAAGAGATACTGTTGCGCAATTTTACAAAATCAACGGAGTACATAATCCATTCGGGCTATTGTTGAACAATCAGGCAAAAATCAAAGATCGGCCCAAGTTATAAAGGGTTCATCATTGGAGAAGAATACAATGACCATTCTAGAATCCAAAGAATACATCTTGTTGACAAAAAATATCGGTTAAATACCACCTTAGGCATTTCCATAAAACCGAAACACCACGAGAAATTTGAAAACATGACGATACTCTTTATTCACATTGGTTAAGCTAAAAATAACAGATTAAAGGGTTTCACTGATAGGTCACTTCGCTGATCTCGGTGGAAAAACCATAGCAGCGCCATGAAATAAACACTGGGAAAGGTCAAAAAGAAAGCTGGCATCAGCATATTAGCTAACCTGAGTAGCAATCGAATCAAGTTCATCAAAGAAAAGCACACATGGAGCCGACTGGCGGGCTTTATCGAATATCTCTCGCACGTTAGCTTCACTTTCTCCAAACCACATCGTCAACAATTCAGGTCCCTTAACACTAATGAAGTTAGCCTGACACTCGTTTGCAATGGCCTTTGCAAGGAGGGTTTTCCCACAGCCAGGAGGGCCATAAAATAATACTCCTTTAGATGGTGACATGCCAAACTTCTCAAATTTCTCAGGATGCTCCACTGGGTATTGAACAGTCTAGAAGTAAACAAACAAAACCATAATTAGTTAAGAGACGTAAGCTACATAGCAAATTATAATCATCAAGCAAAACACTCAAAACACACAACATGACACGTCAATAAAGACAGGCCAATTTTTTTTTTTGAAGAAAGGTTAACTAGGACAGGCCAAATTTGGTAATGGATTTACTTATGAGTATATATTGCATTTCAAAAGATTTCTTGAGTATATAATAAAAATGTTGAGAGTATAAAACATAATGGAGAACTCAACAACACTATAAAATATGAAAAAGAGTAGCGAAAACAATCAGTTGGTAAACTTTAAGAATTAAGGGACAGGAAAGATAGGAAAATGTTGTGAAGATATGAAAACATCCTTCTAAAGTATAAGGACAAAAAGCTTAAGTAAAAATGTTTGAGCCAATCACTCAACTGGGAATCAGCACTCAAATACACCCAAATACAATTACGACCAACTAACTCCACCAGGAGACATTATCTAACAGAACATCTTGCTAGGAATGTGAATCAATTACTTTTTTGTTGTAAAAATTTCCACAGTCAATTGGAAAAGTAAGAGAAAATCTAAGGAAAACTCACCTCCTGAAGCTCCCTCTTGACATTGTCCAAACCACCAATATCTTCCCATGAGACATTCGGTACCTCAACAACCTATACAGCACAATTAGTAGCACCATGAACATTAACTCTAAGAATATTACGAATGACATAATAGGATGACCCAAATTAAAAGAATCGACTTACCGTTTCACGCAAAGCAGATGGATTCGAAGAACCCAATGCAGTTTGAAAGTGTTCATTTGTCACAGCCATGGAGTTGAGAATCTCGGCATCGATTGTTTCATCCTCCAGGTCGATGATGTCCATCTTTTCCCTGATGCACTGGAGTGCAGCCTCCGTGCAAAGAGCAGCAAGATCTGCACCAACATACCCATGTGTGTCTTTGGCTACTCTTTCAAGATCCACCTATAAAAAATTTAGAAGACGGAATAAGCAACCAAGGTTTGTCAGAATACCTGTAATTAAAGAATCCCAAAATAAATAGTCCTTGATGCACAAGATGCCATAAAAGTAAGGGAAAATAACCAATATACAACTGCTCTAACAAAGAAGAAAATCTCAAAAGGTCAGATTTTAAGATGGGTAGGAAAAGCATTTACTCTATCTTATATAAAAAAATCACCCTGACAGTTTATTTGAAAAGGCCATAAAAAGCGCTCATTTTCCAACAAACCAAAAAAATGACCCATGTAACTACTATTTTAAAGTCCCTCTCCTTCCTTCCCCAGATGCCTTCTCTGCTGCTCCCGCAGACAAACATTGATGGAGAAAGAGAAGAGAGAGTAACATTTTTAGGCCGGTGTGTCATTTAACTTGACAAAAGGGTATGTTTGTTTATTTTCAAAAGCAAAAATTTAGGGTAGTTGCTTTGAAAAGCAATATTACTATCATAATAATTCAAAAGGTTGCAAAGAAGAGTCATACATCATCTGCAAGCTTCATATTCTTCGTATGAATACGAAGGACTTCCAGCCTTCCGACTTCATCTGGAACACCAATATCAATCTCCCGATCAAACCTTCCGAACCTTCTAAGAGCTGGGTCAATGCTATTGGGCCTATTAGTAGCCCCCATCACAATTACATGAGCTCGGGACTGAAGACCATCCATAAGAGTAAGAAGTTGTGATACAATGCGCCTTTCTACTTCACCATGTGTTTTTTCTCTCTTTGGGGCTATAGAGTCAATTTCATCAATAAAAATGATAGATGGAGCATTTTTCTCTGCCTCCTCAAAAGCTTTTCTTAGATTGCTTTCGCTCTCTCCAGCCAGCTTTGACATGATCTCGGGCCCATTGATTAAGAAGAAAAATGCACCAGTTTCATTGGCAACAGCTCGTGCAATTAGGGTTTTCCCAGAACCTGGTGGCCCATACAGCAATATACCTTTTGGAGGCTTCACACCGATAGACTTAAAAAGCTGAGGGTGTCTCAGAGGAAGTTCAACCAGCTCGCGTATTTGAGCCATTTGCTTTCTAACTCCACCAACATCATCATATCCTACCTCATTCAATCTTTCTTCATCCTCACGCCTCACAGGCTCCCCCTCACAGAATATCTCAGTATCTGGGGCAACAACACAATAATCACCAGGATCTGTCTCAATGACTTTGAATTCAACACTTCGCATACCACCTCTGACAAGAAACAGATCTCCCTTTCTAGCCGGCCGATAGGATTCCAAGAAGTAAGCTGTGAAATAATAACGCAAATATATAAGCATATGTAAAAACCTACAACATAATAAAGACAGCTGTAAGCAAAAAAAAGACTCGAAAACGCCTGGTTTCTTCCACAAACTAAGTGCTCTAAATATAATGGACACAACACTCTTTTCTCAGAAAATCATTTTTTAGAACATATAAATTGACTGAATTTGAAAAGACAGTAAAAGAACCAATGCTACACTTTTTCCCCAAACAACTGACAAACAAAAGAACAAATAAATAAACACACAAAATAAATGAATATTCTAAGTATAACTGTTTCCCGTACTAATTTACAGACAGGAAATTAAGGCACACAAGCAAGTTATGGCACGTGTTGGCAAACCAAGGGCATATATATGCAATTAAGGGGTCTTGGGTATTTCTCAGAATACTAGGAGACTCTGAAGTTATCCGGATTCTAAGCAAATCTTCAATGATCATTGAGAAGAACAGTGAGGATATAAAGAATAACAAAGCTAAAAACCTGCTTTTTAAAGGCACTCACGTTTTAAATAAGCATCAAAGAGATTCCCGGTCACACCCTCAATTGTATCATCAATTGGAAGGATGTGAACACGCTTCCCATACTTAACATCAGGGCACTGATGCACAGAGACGACATCACCAAGACGCACCCTTAGATTAGCCCTCACTACTTTGTTCATTCTAATCTTGGGTTCTTCACACTGCTCATCAACCAGAACGACACATACTGTATCCTTCCGCTTTTTCCCCTGAGAATAATCATCGGCAAAAAAAAAATCAGAAGTTGCTCCAAACTTATAAGAGCACTGTCCCATCACCCAGAAATTGACTAGTTGCAAACCAAAAAGAAACTGTATGCATGAACAAGTGTACTGAACAGGCATGTGTGCACGCATCATTTATATGAAAGGACAAATCTGTGTGTGAGTATATACACATGCAAGTGTGGGTTTGCATATGTGACCATGCCTCTCTGAGATTGTGTGAATATCACAGCATCACATATTCATGTATGTAGGCAGATATACACATGCATGCATGTGTGCTAGACTGCATGTAAGCATACATAACAAAAGTTCACCTTGATAAGAATAGTATCTCCACGGAAAAATTGAAGCTTCTCCATAGTTGCAGGGTTCATGGAGACAACTGAATTGTCATCATTGATAGCTTCATCGACAACAAGGCGATTAGGGGCTTTCTTACGTTCCAGAATTGCTGTGCTAAAATCCTTCTTTCCTTTTCTGTAGAATAAGCATAAAATCACAACATTGACTCAAAACTCTTTACGTTTTACATGATCGCAGTTCAGATCCTCAAATTCGAGAAAAAAAAAAAACTGGATATCAAATTACACATAGAATTATCAAATTACGCATAGAATTATCCCAAAGATTTCAAACATGCCTCTCCATCTCTACATTATGTAATATCCCAACCCTAAGTTACCAACTGGGGATTCAATTGTCACTTACCAACTCGGGGATCTAACAAGAAGACGGGCTTGATCATTGTTATATAGATATAAACCATACATTATATGCATCACATTCAAGTCGAACAAGCATCAAATTCAAGTCAAAGGGCAAGTAAACCATGTCACTCTCCAAGCCAACCACATCAACTACAAGTCAACAATGTATGGCAAGCCTTATGGATGACTTGACTCAATGACAAACTTGAATAGACTTACAGACGCATGAAAATCTTAGTCTTATTTTATTGGAAAATAACTGTTCACTAATATCTTTTATGGTTGGGTTTAAAACTTTGGGGTAGGCCATAGGCCCACCATTGTTTCTCTTTCTGATAATTTCAGTACAATGTATTTCATGATCCACAGTCCCATAGTTCTATGCTTCAAGCAAGAAACTCATCTGCTTTATCTTCTGGTAATAACTTATGCAAGGTTGCAATCCATCTGATTTTTTTTTTTTGGGTTGTTGTTACAGCCAATATACTTGACTGCCCATATAATTACAATAGGAAATGTAATCCAAGAGTTGGATTGGTGCAAAACTTCAAGGACTAATGTTTTAATAGCTAAAATCCAGAAATAATATCTGGGAAACAACAATCTGGGGACAACATGATACGAAAATCCAAATCACTCCAAAAAAACCAGAAACCAGGTCAACCTTGCGTATCCTGTGGCATATATACCCTACACAAACATATTACCTATGAAAAAATAATCTATCACGAATAAAAGTAGTAGGTTTCTAGATCTTTTCTTTTTTCGCATAGAGTTCTTTTCTGAGTGTTTCTTTTCTTATTTTCAAGTCTTTTTTGCTAGTATGAAAAATCTGATCATCTATGCCCAATATCTAATCAGAATTCTTACAATACAGACACATGAATAACTAATTAAACCTTGTATGCTAGTACGTGAGCAACAATCTTAATGTTAATCTGGGATACCACACTTAATACTTTTATTATTCCTTTATTTCCCTGATAGTGTTTCATGTATCATGCTCAAAAAGGCCATTAAGATAGGATCCTAAGATTAAATGCTTGACAAATACGTGGGTCAAAGGCATATCCGCTCCTAGCTTCAAAACTACTGATACATTACCATAAACAATAGAAATCCAGAAACTTAAACAATTCAAAGCAGCTAGCACGGACCTCAATAACAAAAGAAACAAAAAACCCTAAAACCAATTCATATATGATCTCAACAAGAACAATTTAACATTGAACGTTGTCTCTTTGCAGAGTAGAAAGACCAAAACCCTAACCCTAAGAAAAAAAATTTCCAAGGAAGGAACACGAAAGTACAACCACTAAAGTTAACAGAAAATTCAACTAAATATGTAGAGAGCAATAAAGAAACAATTATTCAACAATATTAATGGAACCTAAAACTTACGCATCAGAAGACGATTCAGGTTGATCAGAACTCGATGCCGCCATTGTAAAAAAGAGGTCAAAGATCTGGAAGAGGAGAGGAGAGGAGAAAGAGCACGGCAAATACTATCGAGTTGCGAGAGCTCTTGGACCTTGGAAGATGCTAGTTGCGACAGCTCGTGGACCCTATTTATAGGCGTATAAGTATTTCTAGAGGGAATAGGAAACAGTTTTTAGGATAAGATAGATAGATATATGTAACTTCAGAGATTTTAGGAAAGAATTATCGTATATTGATTAAATATACATATCTAGATACATTTTAGGAAATAATTATAATATATAAATTACCATATATAAATCATATATTATCGTGACCATTATGTTCAAAAGATAAGATCTCTTGTGGACAATCTTTTATTAAAAATAGATAAAATAATGTGTATTAGTAGAGATTGTAGGAAAGAATTATCATGTATAGATCATACAATATTTTGATCTCTATGTTCAAAAGATAAAGTCTTTTTGTAGATAATCATTTATTAAAAATAGAGAAAAAAATGTGTATTTTGAAAAATTTTAGGAAAAAATTATCATATATAGATTAAATATACGTATTTTGAGAGGTTCTAGGAAAGAATTATCTTTGAGAGATTTTAGGAAAGAATTATCATATTGATTAAATATACGTATTTTGAGAGGTTTTAGGAAAGAATTATCATATATAGATCATATGTTATTGCGACCTCCCCCTTGTAGATAATATCTTATTCAAAATAGAGAAAATAATGTGTATTTCTATTATATTTAACATTATTACGGATTTATTGTGAAGTTTCTGTTATTACAAGTATACTTTTTTTATATATATATAATATTGAAAAAAATACAGAACAACCCTTTTTAGTTTTTGAAAAACCAAAATGTTTAAACTTTTCAATTTATCAAAACTCGAAAAACTTTCATTTTCCAGTAACTTATAGAAAAATTTACTGGAAAATGTCGCGTTTTTTGTTTTTCAAAAACAACAAAATTGGATATTTTTTATTTTTCAAAAACCGAAAACTATCTTTCATTTTTCAGTAATGGAAAATTTACTGGAAAGAGACAAATTTTCTGTTTTTTTACCGAAAAGAGACAAATTTTCTGTTTTTTTACTGCAAAGAGACAAATTTTCGGTTTTTGAAAAAACAAAAAATGTCGTGTTTTCAATTTTTCAAAAACAGAAGATTGGAATTGGGTTACTTTTCGATTGTCGAGGGACGAAATCCAATTTCGACGGTTGAAAAACCAAATTGGGTTACTTTTCGGTTTTCCAAAAATAAAAAAAGCTTATTCTTTTAATTTTTGAAAAACTGAAATGTTTAAGCATTTCGGTTTTTCAAAAACCAAAAATGGCAGTTCCATCTTTTTTAAAAAACAAATATTATGAAGTTGAAAAAAAAATATACATATAATAATGAAAACTTCACTGTAATTCCATACTAACACTAAATATAACTAATATATACGTTATTTTCTCTTTAATATAAAATTTAAAATAAAAACATTTTATTATATATTAAGCTATTTTTATTTTATATAATTATTTAATAAAACTATTAAATAAGGAATATATGACCAAAAAAACAAATTCCAATCATAATATTATCATTTAAATAAATATTTATTTAAGTAAATACTAAATGATGGTTACTTCAATAATTATTATTTTTTAATAGTTATAATAAAACAAAGACAGTAATAAAACTACATTAATATTTTATATATCAGTAAGATATTATAATAAAAATATTTCATCGACCAATTTTTTTCTTCTATTTGTTGTTTTTTTTATTTCCTAAAATATATAAAAAAAATTATGACTAGGTGAATTGTAACTATATATTATAATTATAATCCTAATAGTTTACTATGAATTGCATAAAACTATAACTAGGAAAAGAATTCGGTGAATCAACCGACTCATATATTTATATGACTTAAAACAAGTGCTCTTTCTCTCCGTGTAATGCAAATAGAAATCCCACTAACATATAGTTTACGGTATAGAGGCCATAGAAACTTGCCAAACCTTTTGCATGCTTTTGACTCTTGATTTGAAGCTCATATTTTTAAGGATTGTATACAATGAGATCATTTGTCTTTTGAATACGGAGGTCACAATTATTACAACTATCCGATATGAAATCTGATAGCTTGGATGTGTCAAAAAATTTCTTTTGAACTTTGAGTTTGATCAATAAAATAAATGTAGTCACTTAATTTCACATCCAATGATCAAGATTAATTGTGACCACTTTGTAGAAAAGGTAAATAGTCTCATTATATATTTTCCCTAATTTTAGTATGACAATACTTTTTTTTGCTATCAAAGCCTTTCAAGCATCTCTATCTCCATAACTTCCAAATAATTTGTGAGGCTAAATCCGAAAACTAGAGAAAAATGAGCGAAAAGTTAGTTTAGTAAACTAGAAAGTTTGGTAATTACAAGCCAAAATCTTAAATCAAAAGAATTATACCAAAGTTAGTATGCTAGGGGAGTAAGTGTATAGTATGCTCCTACAGGATCATGGTATACACATCCATTTGAAAAATCCCTCTGAAAATTTTAATATTAAGTTTTTTTTTTTTTTCCAAAATGCCCTAACGATTTGGAACCTACAACTCTAAAGTTCTTTTATCTTTTTTTTTTTTTTTTCACACGTATCTCTTTTTCGTGAGAGTTTATTGGATTACAACAAGCACATGTGCTTATTGCGTCCACAGGGAACTTTAGATTTTCGAAGTCCAAAGTTCTATGAACTTCACTAAAATACAGATCTGGAAAATCCAAATTTCTCTATGGATCTATGTTACGTAGAAATGGGCGAGCGTGTCCATTTGTGACATGGATACGGTTGTCAGAAATGTAAACGTACAAAATTTCATCTAGACATGACACGTTTATAGAATATAGGGGCATATGTGATATGTATATGTACAGAGATGCTTATGTTAAAAAGTATGTGCAATTCACATATGCATTGAGATGTACTAGAACTTATGCATCATAAAATTGGTAACTAATAACGCAACACAAAAAATAAATAAATAAACAATTAAATTGATTAACCAAAAAGTACAACTTTGTGAATCAAATTTTTATTCATAAAAAATTTCTCATAATCCAATTCAAGTTTGCATCATAACAACATATAGAAAAGTTCAAAACCATTAGGTTGATAATTAATTTAAAATAAAAATTAAATTTTTTATTCTAAACCATATCTTATTTCTAAAAATGGATGGGATGTTTACTTATGTAAACATGGATAGTTTTTATATATAAACATATACAATTTTCATATACAAACACGTACAACTTTTTAACATGACTAATGTAAACATGGAAATGTTTTTTTGTTTGGTATTTTCAAATTGACTCGTGCAAACACAGCCAATTATCCCTCTTTAAAAACTTAAAATGCAACTCAATTTATTGTAGTTTGAAAATAAAAAAATATTTGTGAAGAATAAGCATTTCAAAATTGACATCGGCAAATATTGAAATTTTTATTATTTTATTTTAAAATATTTTTTATTTTGAAAATAAAATATTATTTATTAAAGAATGGTGTGTTTATACAAAGAAACTTCATATTCCATTTCTAGAAATGTGAATAAGTGTCGGAGTTACCCAAGTGTCACCACGTGATTAGACCTATGGGCACGCGTGTCCATGGTTCCTAGTCTAGAATGTAGGAAGCCTCGATGCTTGTTGCATGCACACGGAACTACTTTGGATTTTCAGATTTCGAAGTTAGTACATTTTTGATAAAAAAAACAAAAGAAAAAGAAAGCGTAGGAACATAGTATTTAAGTTTTAAGGGGTATAGTTTAATAACACTAATTTAAAGGGATGTTGCCATAAAGTTTATCAAAAAATTATATGAAGTCTCAACCTTATACTATAGATGAGGTGCAACACAAAAATCAATTGGAAAAAGTTGTTGTGGCTCTATAAAACCCTCTAATTGATCTTTTTAACCTTGAGATGTTTTGGGTACAGGGAAAAGGAATAGATTTCAAGTCCTAAAAATAGTGTATGTTGTGACATTAAGAATTTTTATGCAAGAAAAAAAAGTGGGAAATAAAATCTACATTGTTCGTTAACCTCAAACAAATAAAAATCATCAATTATAGAGAAAAAAACATGATTGTAAATTGAGCCAAAAAAAGAATAATGTTTTTCTTTCATAAAATAAAAGTCATTCCAATAATATAAGCCTCCTAAAACGTGACTTCCAAATATTTTATAATCCAATAAAACCCTAAAATCAACTTGACATTAAATAAATATTTAAGACTCTAAAATATCCTAAATAATTCTAAAATTTCATAAATATCCCTATGAATAGTACAATATAAACAGTGATGTGAATAGTACCCATGAACAATACCTGTGAATAGTAACTAGTAATTAGCAAATAAAAAATCAAAAAATTCTAAAATTCTTGAAAAACTTAAAAATCCAAAAAATAAATCCTAAAACTAAAATTAAAATATGCATCTTTTAAAATTAAATAAAAATAAAAAGTTAGAATAACTGTCTTGCATCATTCTCCTTTAGTTGGAGAAAACTTGTCCTCGAGTTTTGAAGTGTACTAAGATGAATTCAACATCAAAACCATCTTTTTCAATTGTTGGCTCAAAATTTATTTACGGTAAAAAAAAATCATCAAGAAACGAATTTTAATATGTATATTGAGGAATGGATGTAAATTTATCATATTTCACTATTTTTGGATTCCCATCAAGTAAGTGACTCCAAACTCAATTTTATGGCATCTAGAGCATTTTTCAACGTTTATTGAATTATTGTCAAAATTTTAGGCCATAATTTGCATATTTTGATTGACCATGCATCTACTACACTAATCTGATTCAAATGTCGTAAATCTCCAAATGTTATGCTTCTTTGATATCCTTAAGATCTTTAATACAAATTTTATTATCATAGATAAGATATCTTGCAACATCTTGTTCTCCAACTGAGCAAGGGTCAAAGAGTAGAGGTGAATCCCAATCTACAACTTGCTAATTTTGGATACAACTTGTATCAAAATCAATATTATCCTCAAATCAAATAGAAAACCATAGATAGATGTCCCCCATGTTGAGGTCTTCTATCACTTTCCTCTCTCTTGACTATGCACACGGAGCATAGAGGTGAAA